CATTTGAAAAAAAAAAAAAGAAAGAAAGAAAGATGGACAGAAAGAAAGAAAATAAAATGAAATTATGATGATGTCATTGGGTCATTTATTGTATGAACCGGACTATAGATCAAACCGTGAACCGGACCATTTTCTTTAACATTATTATTATTATTATTATCATTATCATTATTTTGTTTGTGAGATTTTCCTTCTGTGATTAATAATCTTTCTAGTTTCTCTGTTTCATGAATTCTTTTGGATTATTGTCGGAGATGGATTCTGTGCAAAGACGACAATTGTGGGGGAGGTCATCAAAAATAATTTGAAAGAAGAACGAAAACTGAACTAGTCAATTCCAAATTCTATATTATTGAAACTTATGCGATAATATAATTCTCCTGCATAAATGTGATTTGGCATAAATGTGTTATTTGATTATGTCAAAATTAAGTTGAAAATATTTGGATTGTTATTCGTTTCATAGTTAAATTTTATATAGGCTGATTTTCCTATATTATGAGCGAACAATTCTAAATATTTTAATTACTTTATGAGATTTAACCAATTTTAAATTCATTGTCATAATTTAAGCATGATATTTATTGACAGTATATATGTGTTTTATGCATGATCTAAAGTGAGTTGTTTCAATGCTATCTTCTCTGTATAGTTTGCAATTATATGTGATAATTGGAATAATTACTACATTTGTTTTAAGATACAGAGCAAATTGAGGTAATGAAGAGCAAAGTGAGGTAATGAAGTATCCTAATTTAAATTTATCTTAATTTAGAGATGATTTGAGATCTTGCTTGGCTATAATTGAATATATAGTCTTATGTTGATTGAATATCTAAAATTATTCATTATGAATACTTTTATTGTGAGTATGTCTATGATCTGAATAGGAATAAAATGTACAATTATATGGTGCATAATTGTCGCTTTGATTTCCTTTTGAATGTTTCATGAGACCTTCGTGAAGATGAAATTTGTGAATTTATTGGTTAATTACATCTAATGTCAATTAACAATAAGATGTTGCTATTTAAATTATTTAGTAAACTATGGAAAATTATCTCAACGGTGAAGTTATTTCCTTGGAGCATGAGGAACTTAGTGGATCCTCTTACTAAAGGTCTAACAAAGAGGGTAATTCTTGAGTCTTTAGTTTATATGAGACTAAAACTTTAATGTGTGTGATGGATAATACACTTGTGAAAATCCATAGCCTTTTATTTAGGTGGTTTGTATGAACTTGATGGATCACATGTTGTGATGTACTATGAGTATCCATAGTCCTTTATTTGGGTGGTCTGTATGGACTTGGTGGATGAGATATGAAGTCTTCATAGCTTAAATTTTTGAGTGGTTTATCTGTGATAGACTTGATGAAGCAATAACGTGATTGTGAAGGTGGGCCGCCTTCTATGAAAGAGTTAAAAGTATCTTTCTAAAACTTTCACGATGAACCAAGGTTTTTATGTGCATGGCCATTAATAGCACTTGATTTATATCACAGAAGCGAAAAACAAGGAATAAAATGTGTTGTGGGGGTCTCAACCATACTTACTAAAAGTTCAAGAGGCAACTCACTTTCATTATTTAGGTTCTTGCCTCATTTCACTATGTATTAATTCAAATCGTAAGATATTAATGCTTAAGTTTATTTTCTTTCATTGCTCAAAAGATATATTTTTTAAGAACTAGTTAGTCATTCGTGGGGGATTGTTGGGAATGTCTAATATATTCTTATAAAACATAGTCTTCTAGCTATTTTTAAGGTTGATAAATTTATAATATGCTATTTTTAATTTTACTATTTTTTTAAATCACCAAAAATAGGATACTGTTTCTATATAAATAAATACTTGTTTTTGTTTTAAAAAAAATGCGGAGAAAATCCTTATGAGTATGTTTATCGATTCCATTCGGCCCCGGCAAGTGCATGCCTGGGTTGGAAGTTGTGTTAACCTTGGGGATCGATTGGCAAACATACGATGTAGCACCATGGTCGTGCCATAATTGCTTTCAGGACAGTGGCTTCGTCCACGACACAACAAGACAATCATTTTTCATCTAAATTCTCCTTTATTTCCAACAATTTTCTCTTATTTTTCTTAATTTTTCTTATCGTATTTCTTATTTTTGGTCTAAAGACTCATTCCATCTATATTTTATTTGTTTAAGTTGTTTCAGGACCAAAATGAATCGCCCTACAAAGATAAGTGGAGAGGATTGATTTTTGGCACAAGTTATGAGTTTGTCTCACTTGAAAAATGGGAACAAGGTTATATATAGATACCTTATTTTGTCCGATCCATATTTTTATTATTTACTTTATACTTTACCTTATTTTTGTTAGTTTTTTTTATTTCTTAGTTATTTGAAAAAAAAGGAAAAACTAAAATTTATTTTATTATTGTTATTTAATTATTTTATAAGATAAAGTTTTAATTAAATTAAAAGAGTTTGAATCTTCTTTAAATGAATTTGATTTTGTCAAAAAAGGGGTCAAAAAATAATAAAAAAAGATTTTTATCTTCGTTTCTTTAGGATAGATATACACATAAGATATATGTTGCATGATTTAATAATTGAGAGGAAATGAGACATAAATGGATCAAATTGAAAGGAAAATCATAGTCCGGGCAAATAGGAAAACATCACAACACTTAATCAAGTCCAAAAAACCCGAGGAGATAGCGTCACGACGCTAGCCCAGAGTGCCGCAGCGCTTCGTAGTCTTAATTTCATGTTTTTTAAATAGTGTAGCACAATGTTCCTGTGTATAGTGCCATAGCGCTGCTGCGAAATTCTTTTATAAAAATAGGGTTGTGCAGCGGCTTAGAATGAGGAATTTTGGAGAGGTTTTTTTTGGCTGTTTGACTTTTTGGCCAATTTTGAGGGCAATGAGACCATTGGAGAGCTTAGAGAAAAGAGATTTTCCAGGCTCGAGATCGTGGAGGTCGCTACAGGGACGGACAATTACAAGCCGAACTTAATTTCTTCTTCTTTCCCTTAATTTTTCTAGTTTTAAATTGAATATGAGTCGTTAAACCTCTTATCTTAGTGATTGATGTAGCCATTAAACTTTATGGATTGATTGTTTGATTCTCTTAATTGAATGCATTTAGATATTTATTTATGTTTCTTTATACTTAATGCCTTTAATCTACTAGTCATTGATTTATTGATTTTAGACTTGAATCTTACGCTCATAAAAGGTGGTTGATAGTTAGAACTGGGATGCGTAACTAGAGGAGTTTTAAAATTGTGAGATTTAGAAGTTCTTCAAAGGTCGTTAAAAGACTTATTCAATAAACTTTTTGCTTGTTATTGAAACTAGATAGAGATATTGGTTTCTTAATTAGTAATGATAATTATTAGACATTCAATCTTGGGAAATTAAGTAATTTGTTCATAGATTCGATAGTTGAAATCAATTATTTACTATTCTCTCATTCGATTTTGATTCTCTAAATAAAATTGAGTGATTGTATATGTAGAACTTGTGTGAGCTTGAAACTCAATCCAGAGGACGAGACCAGTATTCATTTACTTACTATATTAAAACTTGCCTCGTACACTTACAGTAAGCAATTTATGCTACAAGTTATTAGCACCGTTGTTGGGGATTGACAATTATTTAGTTTCACTTGTTATCATGGAGAACTTGTTTCGTCTTAATTTTTTGTTTTTTTTTTCCTTTTGTATATATTTCTTGTATCTTGATGTTTTTTCTCTTTTATCTAGATTTTAATTTTAATTTCAGTTTTTGTATATTGTTTTCCCAGTTGGTTGATTGAGTGATATATGCCTTTATGTGAACGCCTGAATAAATCATGTCATTTTATAGTTATGAGTGGCCTTATAAGGAGACTTCGACCAACCAAAGGCCACCACCATCATTAAATTCTTATTCCTCAATATAAAAAACATAAAGTGTAACATAATTCTTCAATATAAAAAACATAAAGTGTAACATAATTCAGTTCAGAAATAACTTTTCGGTCACGACTTCTAAACATACTATACAACCTCAAAACGTACAACTACTCCATTACAAGTCATTCTAAATGTACATACAAAATGATATGCAAGTTCTGAGACGATGAGTGACAGAATCTGGTCGGCTATCCCTTTGAAACTCAGGTGCAGCCTGGTTGATATGAACCAAAGTGTCTTAGTCTTCAAAGAGTTAAAGGAAGTTGTTGGAGAATCCTATGTCCAAGTTGACAACAAATTGGAGTTGCATTAAATGCACTCTAGTGTCATTTATGGCAACCTCAAGTGGCATTGAATGAAGTCAAGAACAAGTCCAACTTCATTTACTACAAACTCAAGTTGCATTAATGGAAGTCTAAGTTGAACTCAAGATGCATTAAATGAACAAGACTTCAAAGTACTTAAAAGTAGTTCAAACTCCAGTTCATTCACTCTTGAAGGGTTACAAACTCTTGGTTTTATGGTGGAGGAGTTTCATTCTCGGATTTAAAGCATGTTTAATTGTATTTTCAGTTTTAAACA